ATGTGAAGGCATCAAATATATAGACTTGAGGTAGGGTAAAAGCACTGAATGGATTTCAGTGAAAAAAAACTAGGAAAGAAAAAGCATGTAGCGAGCAATCATGCAGTCTCTTCCATGTGTAACTTTCTGAAATGAATGCTATTATGAGGGTATGCATTTGTTCATGGAGGAATCTGCTTTTATATTGCTCATCCTATTAGATGCTTCATTTGGTGGCTCAATTTGCTGAATTAAACTTAGCAACTGATAATAATAACTCACATGCTCTATTTCTGTGTAACATTCAAGTTTAAACATTTTTTCTGGAAAATAAATTATACATGTGATAACTATATAGGCTAATGAGACTAAATCTCGAGCATCCAATTGAATAACTGATTAATGTGAGGGAAATGTTGTCCCTGGTGCAGGTATTAGCTGCAAATGCCTGAAAGGTTAGTGCTGTTTGTTTTGCACAGATCAACAAAGGGAAACAATGTCAGAGGCCAAAGAAGTAACTCAATTGATTCCCAAAATCATGAAGAGGAAAGGGAATGGTGACAAATTGGATAACATTACCTATGCTGAGAATGCATTTCAAAGGAGAGAAGAGAATTGCCTTTCTGATCGCTATGTAGTTGCTGAAGATACATAAGCTAATGGAAATTAGCTACATTGCATATTCTGTTTTCTTTTTCTTTATTTTCTTTTTCTTTAGCTCCTTTTTTTTTCCTTTCCCATATTCTTACTGCACCATGAAGAAGAAACAGAAGGAAACCACAGGATTACTAGATAGACTAACATTGTTAAACTTGTTCACATATGTAGCATCAACATCTGAAATATCATTATCGTCAGTTGTGCATATGACAGTGTCTCCGGACCATAAATTCTCCAATATTGGAGTCTGAATGGCCTGAACCTGGGTATTCCTGCTTTGCAGACTGGCTTCTCTTTTGAGTGTACACTGAAGAGGCAGCTCTGATTGAAGCATGAGTATAGGGTGGAAAAGTGATCTGCATGGCACGTAAGGCATAACTGCATTGATCTGCCTTGATTCAGGCAACATTCGTAAGAGCTCTTTTTCCTGCCTTATCTCCTTAGCTCTCTCCAACTGTCTGAACCTTTCTTGCAGAAGAGCAATGGATGGATGAACGATTGCTGGATCAATCTATCTATCTTCACTCATTGGAAGATGAAGAGGAACCTCAATGGGATTGATTCAAGCACTCTTTAATGAGACCTCGTACGCATATGCATACGCATATGCACATATGTATAGGACATAGCTAGGACTTAAGATGATTATTTTAATTCATTCATTCTGGCTATTTGATTCTGTATGACTAAAAGTTGGAAAACAAAGGCAGCTGAACTGCAATGTGTAACAAGGCAGAGATATGTGGCCATGTGAATGGGTGAAAGTACATCCAGGGAAGAAAATGGTCAGGAGCAAAATCTAAAGAGATGTGGAAGGTAGCATTTGGAAGTGTTTCTTTAAGGAGAATAAAAGACTGGGTGCGTTGTGTGTCGGCTTGTCGTAGAGGGCTGCTGGTATGCCTTTGGAGTCTTTTTGGTGGGGGATTTGGTTGGACCATCCCATTATATTTAGCTTTGAACATTTTCTTTTTTCATTTGTGGATAGCACAAAGCTTGAACACTCTGAACACAATTCGGACTCTGATGTTTTTATCAAAGAAAACCCTTTTATGGATAGGAGAGAAAAGAAGAATCAACCAAAGCCAAGCCCCTCTTTCTCTCCGTACATGTTCTGTTTTGTCTTGAAGCTTTTGGATGGAAATGGCATGAAAGATGAAAGTTGAGATATTAGATTGGATCTGTGGTTGTTGGGGGACTGAAATTTGAAAAGCAACATATATCCTAAAGCTAGAGGTAGAGGTCTTGTTACCCCAAACAAAAAAATAGAACTCTCATGGATTTAAAACAAGTGTCATTTATTGAATTTACTGTATGATTTCATCGAATCACATTTTAATTCACGTGTTATGTAATTAAGTATAGAAAATAATTTGAAAAAATAACTCTTAAAATGATAATAAAAGATTTTTGATATATCTAGTTTAAAAAAAAATTTCTCTTATATTTATTTTTACAATCAAGTCTTAATAAAAGAAAATGAATTAAAAAATTTGAATTTTTTCTTTGAAAAGTAGTTGTTTGATCATAATAGTATAAAAGGTGGTCTAAAAAAAAGTTAGATTAAATTATATTAAATTATAAAATAAAACAATGATGATTAAATAGAAAAGACCTCAATTATCATAGTCTAATACAGTTCGGATTACATAATAGTTTTTCTCAAAACAGTAAAAATGCTGCAATTTATAAAATTAATTTTACATTGATGGCTCCCACCAAAAATTAAATAAAATAAATAAACATTGACGGCTCAAAATAAGAAAATAAGACCGTTCATGTAAACCTAACCCTTTGGCCCAAAAAACAAAAAGCCCAACCCAAAGTCCCAAACGTTGGGCCTCTTCCCGCCGGCTACATCTCCGCCAGTGTAGTCTTACACCGGCTTTCATCGGAATTACTTGCTACGCCCTCAGACCTTCAATTCGTTAAGCTGGACAAAGCGCTTTCAGACGAGGACTGTACCGATTACAGAGTTGCATTCTTCTTCTTGTACAGGGTTTGCTTCTAGGACGACTGCTGCTCATTGACCGCCACAGACCGTCTTTCCGGCAACTGATAGTAAGGAACTTTCTTTTGATATTTTTATTTATGGGTTTTATTTCTTGATAACTGGGTGTTGTTTAATTATGTATGGAAAATGCAATTTCTTTGTTTGAAAAACAAAAAATTATGGAGTCCTCTGTCCTCTGTTTCAAGTCTGAGCCTTTGAAAAAGATCTTTGGGCATTCGATTTATTGGTGTAAGTTTTGCTGCACAAAAAAAAAATTTATAATAAGAAATCTATTAAATTTTAAAGAAAAATAATAGTAGAGTAAATATATTTGTACCTTATATGTACCATTTTTGGTGGTTTATCTAGAACTTTAATGTGTTGTAGATTTCTTAGTTATATGATTGTATAAATAACGTAATAATTGACAATTATTACAGTTGT